CGGCCCCGCTCCCTCCTGTCCCGCGCCCCCATCCCCGCCCGCCCACGGTTGCGCCCTCGCCCTCGGATGCGGCGCGTCGGGAGCAGCGTTTCCAACGACCGCGGGGTGACGTCCCCGGCCCCCAGCACGGCGCTCGCAGAGCCGGACCGGGGAGCCACGCTGCCCGTGCGGCTGCTGCGGGACGTCTCGGCGGCCGCGCAGAACACCGGCCAGGCGCAGGGCTTCCAGATGAGGATGGACGCGCGCGGCTTCGCCCCGGAGGAACTGCAGGTGCGGGTGGACGGGCAGAACCTGGTGGTTACCGGCCAGCGACAAGAGGAGCACCGCGACCCGCGCGGGGGCAGCTACAGCCTGAAGCAGAAGGTGTACCGGCAGATGCAGCTACCTGGGGCCCTGGACCCCGCCACCGCCACCTGCTCCCTGACGCCCTCCGGCCAGCTGTGGGTGCGGGGCCCATGCAGACCTCCGCCTCTGCCTGAATCCCCACCAGCCCCGTCCCGGAACCTCACGCGCCAGGGCTCTAAGAAGGGCCCCGGCTCCGCCTGAACCAGTAAACCACGACTGTGCAGCAGCCCGTGTCTGCCGTCTTCTGGGGCCAGGGCCAAAGGTAGAGGGTTGGGGCCTGCGATGCACACCTGAATCGCAGCTGCTGGGGAGGCTGAGGCAGGAGGATCACGAATTTGAGGCAGCTGGGGCAACTTAGTGAGACCCTGTCTCAGAATAAACAGTAACGGGGTGGGGATGTGGCTCACTGCTACAAAAAAGTCCTGGGCTCAAGTCCTAATGTCCGCCCACAGCGAAGGGTAGAGGCAGGTAGAAAGCCAGGACGGGGTGTGGGCCTGCGGCGGCTCCAGAGGGAGCTGAGTGGGAAGGGCCCAGCCACCACGCGCCCCAGACCCGGCTGCCGGGACAGTAGGACCTGTGCGGCCGCCCTGAAGGGGGCGCTGAGGGAACAGGGTGCGGCCTTGGCCTCGTGATCGGCCAGCGTCCCAGAAGAGGTCAGCAGTTCCCTTCCACGACCGAGGCGGCCCGGAACAGACCAACCAGCCCTATAGAGGCGGCGGGGCGTGGCGGCCCGTGCCTGCTCACCCAGCACTTGGGAGGCCGAAGCCAGCCTGAGCTAGAGCCGGGGCTTACCCAAAAACACAAAACCCATGGAGATGACTTCTGGTGTCTCAGAGCCCCGCGGTCTACACCCCACACCCCCCAACGTGAGCCGGTGGGGGCCAGGGTGGGGAGGCTGCCACGGCAAGCTCCTGCACTTCAAGTGTGGCTCGAAGCGGGGCTGCAACTGAGGCCTGGTCTCCCGGTTACCATGACTACCAGCCTCCCTGTCAAGGGGAAGCTTTTGCTCCTGGCCGTGCAGCGGCTGGTTTTAGATTAACTTCGGGTGACCCAGAGAGGCAGCGGCCGGGCAGACTCTGCCGGAGAAACACAGCAGACGAGGGTGAGGTCCAGCGACCGCTGACTGTATTGACAAGATACTGATTGGTTACATGTTGCAGAAACGTACAATACAAAACACAGAAAAAGTTGGTTCGGTCCCCTCCCGCGCCCCTACCCCCCATGCTCGTCATCGTGATCCGGTCAGCACACGGCTCAGAGGTCAGGGTGGCCGAGGGGGCGTCTGGGCCATGTGGTAATGCTGTGGTCCCCTCCCGCCCAGAGCTGGCCGGCGCAGGGAGCGGAGCCCTTCCTCGGCCCAGGGCGGCCCACTGTCCTGGGCGGGGCGAGGTGCGCCCACAAGGTGAGTACGTGGGTGCCCGAGTCTGCCCTCCGGCGGGAAGACACGAGGCGTCGCTGCTCCCGCGGTCCCCAGAGGAGGCGGGACAGGAGCACAGGCCGTTCCTGCAGAGGCCCAGCGGGGCGGTGGGAGGGGCGGTGGGAAGAGCAGACCGTATATATTAAAAAAGTGACTTAAGACTTAAAATTGAATTAGTATTTGTACAGAAGGTGCAGGTGGAACAATTCCCCCAGCCCAGAATCAGAGTCAGACGGAGAAATCACGAGCCTCCTGCCCCGCGGCCTGCGGCGGCGTAAGTGCGACTGGTCAGCGTGGTCCGGTGGTCGTGCTCGGGGTCTGGCGGCTTCAGTTGCTGCAGCACTGGCCCCGCGGCTTCAGTTGCTGCAGCACTGGCCCCGGCTGGCCGGGCTGCTCTCCTGCAGGTCCACGCCTCGGTTCCGGCCCGGCGCACCTGCTGCGTTCTGGGGCTCATTCTTGGGCAGCTTCTTGGCTGTGGGGGAGGGGAGAGGCGTGTGGCTTCTCCTGTGGGTGCAGCAGGCCCTCACCACCCCACTGGGGACCACGACACCAAAGCTGGGCACAGACGGCCCGGGCACCTCACCTAGGACCACAGGGCTACACGTGGTAAGGCCAGGATTTGAACCAGGAACCCAGAAGTAAGAAGACCGCTAAGAAGGGGAGGGGAGGCCAGGGCACGAGGGCCGACTCTGGCTCACTCTGAAGTGTGAGGGGCCCCGCTCGCGGCTCGGACACGGGGACAGCCACGTCAGCAGAGCACGAGGCACAGTGCGTCCAGGCGCCCGCCCCCAGGGCCTGCTCACCGATGGCCATGAAGATCTCGTTCACGTTCATGGCGGTCTTGGCTGACGTCTCCATGAACAGCAGGCTGTTGTCCTCGGCGTAGGCTTGTGCTTCCTGCGGAGGAGGGGCACGGGGTGGGGGCAGCGCTGAGCCCCGGGCCGGACCTGCCCTGCATGCACACCTGCCCGCAGCACCTCGGCTTCCAGAGCCAGCAGGTGAGGCCCCAGGCATCCTCGCACCCCCTTTCTACCTGAGGGTCTCCTGGGAAGCTGCCTCACACACACTTGCCCACCCAACACCAGTGTCGAGCAAAGCTCGGTCCCAGGTCCTGGGTTCCGGCTCTGCCATCGCCTGCAACCTGGAGCCCACGGTGCGGGCTGGGACGGGTGGTGACACTGCCCAGGTGCGGAGCACATGCCCACCCAGGTAAAGAGAAGCCCCACAGAGGCAGATCAGGGTTCAGGGCAAGGCTGGGTCTCAGCCAGAGGGGCCTGAGCTTGTGGCCTTCCCTGCACACAGCCTCCCACCCCCACAGCTGGGGAGAGGGCGGCCAGCCACGCCTCCTGCCGCAGTCCCCACCTGGAACTCCACGGCCCGCTTGCTGGCCAGGTCGGCCTTGTTCCCTGCCAGGGCGATGACAATGTTGGGGCTTGCCTGCCGCTGCAGCTCCTTCACCCAGTTCTTGGCCCGCGCGAAAGTGTCCTGGAAAGACAGGGCCAGAGTCAGGGCACAGAGAGGCTGCCTGTGCCAGTGTGACCAGGGCCTCCGGGATGGTGACCCCGGGCTCCAGACAGCTGCTTCCGGCAGGCAGGAGACCCCACCTCAGGGCTGAGGCCCGCCACACCCGCCCCAGCTCAGCAGGGCACAGAGGGTCCGCACCGTGTTGGTGATGTCGTAGACCACGATGGCCGCCTGCGCGCCCCGGTAGTACATGGGCGCCAGGCTGTGGTACCGCTCCTGGCCGGCCGTGTCCCAGATCTCAAACTTGACCGTTGTGTCATCCAAGCAGACCGTCTGTGTGAGGAAGGCCGCTGCGGAGAGGGGGGCAAGGGCACGCATGGGTCAGGGCCCCCAAAACTACCGGGCAGGGGCTCTTCCACCGGCAGGGGAAACCAAGGCTAAGCCCGACTCCGCCGCCCGCGACAAACAGCACGTGGGAATGGCTCCGGCCCACGGCGGCCCTGACCTTCCTCTCCTGGGGACACTGCCCCAGGCCCCAGAGGCTCTGCTGGCCACGCCTGCCCCCAGCTCTGGCCGGGCCCGTCCGAGCAGCCACGCTGAGCTGACCTCCAGGGACCATGGGTCCGAGGTGGGAACGTGGAGCACAGGACGGGTCTGCAGCTGTGACAGACAGCTGGGGTCCCCGCCTGACCCGCAGCTCTCCTGAGCAGGCTGCTCTTCTGGTCCCCCTCTGCCTGCCATCGCTCCACTTCCTGTGTCCAGCTACAGACTGGGCGGGCGTGGAGGAGTAGGAGGAGGACGGCCGCCGCAGACGTTTGTCGCTAGTGTGCAGAGATGGTGACACACGTCCCAGGCTGGTCCTAGCTAGGCTCGGAGATCTCAAGCTGCAGAGGCACCTGCCATCACAGCTGTGTCCCACTCCCCCAGCTGCACCCCGCTGCTCACCTCCAATGGTGCTCTCCTGGTACTCGTGGAACTGGCCCTTGACGAAGCGGAGCACGAGGCTGGACTTGCCCACCGCCGACTCCCCCAGCAGGACCAGCTTGAACTGGCAGATCTTGTTCCCCGCGGCCGGTCCGTTGGGGCGAGCTGTGCCTCCCCGACCCGCCATGGCCTGTGCCGCTGGCTGTCGTGGTCCCTGGGAAGGTGGCACGGGGGCCGGGGCCGGTGCTGCGCAGAGAGGCACTTGGTGGGGAGAGGGTCTCCAACTGCAGGGACAAGGACAGGGGGCCAGGTCAGCCTCGCTGGGCTGCGCAGACGGACGTCTGCTCACAGCAGCGCAGGCTCCCAGTTCTGAGGACTGCTCAGCAGCCCACCACAGCCCACGCCCTCACCCCCAGGTAACGGCAGGCACAGGGTGGGAGCGGACCGACTGGCCCACAGATGGCAGCAACAGGCTCTCTGGGTCAGGCGTGGGGGCGCATGCCATGACCCAGCACTCAGGCTGAGGCAGGAGGGCTGAATTTGAGACCAGCCTCGGCTACATGATGAGTTGAAGGCCAGCCTGAGCTAGACAGTGAGGCCCATCTCAAAAAGTAAAATAAAAGTAAAATAAAAGCCCAGGAAGACATTAGGATTTAGGGTGACGGCCAAGAACCTGCAGTCTGGTCCCAGCACCTCAGCCTGCCCGGTGCAGGGCGGACAGGCGCCCGGGGCGAGCGAAGCCGTCAGACCGGTGCCCGCCGCTGGGCTGGGCGTGGGGAGACCAGGCCGCCTCCTGGGTCTGTGGCAGAACCCAGCCCATCTGTGGCTGTCACAGCCTCCTCCCCTCCCAGGGCAGGAACCACACACACAGCACACATCAGCACCCCAAGCCGGCGCTGTGGGCAGCGGCAACGGGCTGCCAGCTCTCCCTGTGCCCTCTCCTGGGGCAGAGGCGGGGCAGGTGGACACTGAGACCTGCGCCTGGAGGCCGCCCCATCTCAGTCCCTGGGGACCCAGCTGAAGGCACGAACTCTGTGGGCTTCGGAACTGCAAACCAGCGCTCCAGGCAGCAGGGGCCCAGGAAGGACCCAGCGAGGGCTGAGCAGCGCTGTGGCGGGACGGGGAGGACGCCTTGGTCCCCACGAAGCACCACCCAGGCCCCCACAGCCGCTGAGCCGCGTGTGTCAGGAAGATGAGTCACTTGCCAGGAACAAGTGCTTCCTCCCCGGACAGCGCCGAGGAAAGCGCTGTGGGATGGGGCCACCCTTGCCCCAGAGTACACGGAAGGAAGCGGGGGGCCTCACTGTGTCAGTCAAGGCGCTGACCCGTCAGCCAAGTGGCCACTGTGCTTTCTGCCCGGTCGCCAGGCTTCCTCTTGACACCGTGTTCTAGGAACTCACAGTGCTGACCCAAGGGAGTGGCTTTCAAAGCCAGCTAGCATTTGCTGAGTGACTGTACAACCAATATCTCTAAGACATAAACAATTCCTCAGTTTTAGACAAGCAACTGACACTGGGTATACAAATGGGTGTGGGTACCATCAAAGTGATGCCTCCTCTTCAGGGTCACCTCAGGGGAGCCGCAGGAGCTGAGCCCTCAGGCGCCCTGTGAAGGGTGCCCCAGGGCTAATGATGGCCCCCACACAAAATGCTGAGGAAACAGCAGTGACACCGATATTCACGAAAACTTCCCAGGACCCTTGGGACGCCAGCGCTACCCATAGGGTGTGTGCCAGGGAAGGGGCTCTGCCAGGGCCGCACACGGGTGAAGCAGCTGAGGACTCCGCCCTCCCCATGCTGGCGGGCAGAGGCTTGGCCCCCACAGAGCAGCGGGCATGGTGAGAGGCTTTTAAGTGGCACGCAAGGCACCTCGGGGGCCAGAGCTGCCCAGGACAGACGCGACAGTCCCACTGCCCGTCCTCCAAACGCAGCCCTGCGCCCACCCAGCCTCTTGTCCCCCACAGGAGGGAAGTGAACGTGAGAACTCGGGGTGCCCTGCTCTGCGTGTCCCCCACTGCACAAGGGAGGGCACGTGGACCTCGAGCGCCTAGACACCGGCACTCAGGCAGCGGGGCCAGGTGGGAGGAAGAGGAAGGAAGCAGGACCTGCTCCTCCTGGGTCGGCAATGACCCCCCCCCCCGGCACCCCGTGTGTGAGGAAACCACCCGACCCACTAGAGGCAGTCTCTGGGTGGAGTCCGGAACTGCGTGTCCTTCGCACAAGTCCCTGAGGGGTTTGGGCCGCTCAGGCTGCGGGTGACCTGGGAACCCAAGAGGACTAGACCCGGAGCAGCAGGACGACGGGGGTGGGGGCCGGGTCATGTGATCCCGAGCCCGTGCTCAGACTCAGACCCAGGCGCGTCGGCAGCGTCCTGTCCCCTGGGACCCGGCCCCTCTCTTCTCCAGGCCGGGCTGCCCACTGTGTACTTCCTGTCCTTCCTGTGAGCGGAGCGTGAGTCCTGCTGACTGGCTTCTCCTGCTTCCTGTTTGCCTGTGGACGTCGAGCGCACTCGGCTCCGCTGGACGCTGGGCCAGGAGCCGGGCTGCGGGGTGGGCGGAGCCAGCGCTCTCTAGGTTTAGAGATGCGGGGCTCGGAGAGCAGGTGCCTGCGGGCTGGAGGCGGCTCTGGCCGGCTCTGGGGGAGGGCGCAGCCCTGGGGTCACAGCAGGGAGGGGACCAGGTTCAAAGGCCTCGAGGAAGGAAGCCAGGGGAGCGGCGAGCCGCAGTGGGGCACCTTGGCCCGACGCACAGGAAGGAGCTGAGCCTCGTGGCAGCGCTGCCCATATTCACGCCGTCCCAGGCCAGAGGAAGGGAACATCGGCCCGGCCCCGGGGTACCCAGCACCTCCCCAGGGTGACCAGGACGCTGGAGGCTCCCCCACTGGCCAGCTGTGACCTTGGCCAAGTCACACACTGATGCTATCAGAGCGCCCTACTCCTTATCTACAAACGAATTTTTCATACTAATTGCCTCGGGAGGCTGTAAGGCTGGACAACAGCTTGTATGGCAGCATCAGGGCACGGGTTTCTGGGACCACAGCCTGTTACCACTCATGCCACTCGGGCAGCCAGGGCCGCAGGGGCAGGGCTCCCTGTCAGACACACAGAACCTTGCCGCCTGAGCGGCAATGACGCTAACAGCCGGGACTGGGCCCGCGTGTGCTCTGATAAGACGCAGGTGGCTCTCAGCGTGGGAAACGCCAGCTTCTGCCAAACCCCAGACCTGCTGCTCGGGGAGAGCCCCTCTGACAGGCAGGAACGCGGCTGCTCCCAAATGTAAGACTCCACCGCCCTAACTGTCCACATCCGGACACTGACTTGTACACAAACCCACCTGCAAGTGCAGAAGTGATAAAAGCTGCGGATGGTGTGGAATTCTGCATGTAACAATGAAAACTTAAAGCGCCGAAGTGGTATGAAGCCGACCCAGCTCTGCTGTATTTAAATTACCGTCTGCTTCCTCGCTAGCTGCAGAGATTGAGATACATTCAGTAACAACCAAAGGATGGGGGCGCAGCTCAGCTGGCACAGGGCTCGCCTGGCACCAGTGGTGCCCTGGGTTTGCGAAAACAACTCAGACGGCCTTGCTAAACTGGGTGCCCAAGAAAGCAGTGGCAGGAATGCTAACCGGGAAGGGCGGAGATAACGGGCTCCACCCACAAACAGGCTTGCTGTGGGCATGTGAAGCTTCACCCAGTTCTCGGACTCGGCCGTGGTGCACGCGTCTTCCCGATGCAGAGGGTACAGGTGCGAGGCTGTCCTCCCCACCGCTCAGGCTCCCTCCAAGAGCAAGGGGCTGGGACCAGAGACAGGCATCCTCCCATGACCAGGTCCAGGGCTGGCACCCTCAGGGCGGGGTGCCAGGAGCCAGTGCAGGGCACTCGAGAGCCAGGCTGTAGCCGAGGGCTCCTCACCCTGCCCTGCCAGCGGGCAGGGAGGTGACAGGAGCCGGCAGCAGGGGGTGGGCACTGCCTACTGGTGGCCACAGAAGGTGACTCCTGGGGACAGATCCCATCCCAGCCCCCCCAGCTCCTGTTAGTGGACTGAGGTCCAGCTTTGTCCCTTGCAGGGACCGAGGGCAGGGAGCTACACCCTCATGAGGCACCCCCGGAGTTTGCAAAGCCCAGCCTCCACCAAGGCCCGCAGCAGGCGCCAAGGCGCACAGGTCTGGGACACACTGTCAAGTGCCCAGGCATTGCCCAGGACAGCACGGCAAGGGCCAAGCAGCGCTAGATGGAAGTTACCCGGAGGGGCAGGAGCTGGTAGGAGCTCCAGGCCTCTGAGCTCTCCCTGCTTTCTGCAGCCCATGGGACCCAGCTCCTTTTCAAAGGAGACTCAAACAATTGATCTTCCTGCCTCAGCCTCCCAAGCGCTGGGATTACAGGTGTGCATCTCCAGGCCTGGCTCTGCCTTGTGATTCTGGCAGCCCCTGAATCCCAGAATGATCTTCCAACCCTGCACCTCTCTGTGGCACAAGCCCCATGTGCACAGTCGGGATGGGGTACAGGGGCCGGGACGCAGCTGCATGGTGCCTCACACTAAGGGGATGTAACAAGTGCAGCCAACCCCCGGGTGCCGCCCCGGCCTGCAGCACTGCGCTAAGATGGAATCCCAGGGGTGGATGCATGGTGGTGGCGGCGGCTCCTCCTCGACGTCCTCCTCAGAAACCGCAGCGCACCCCTCAGCCAGGGGAGCTGCCACACACAAGGTCAAAGTTCCTGCCTGCTGTGACCTGGGAGGGGCAGCTGCTGGCCCAGCAGTAGTGTGGACACCCAAGGACAGCACTCCGGGCGGCCTCTCCTTCTTCACGTTTGCTGAGTGACACGCAGGACGGTGCCGGGCAAAGGGTGCAGGAGACAAAGGGTCTGAACCTCCATGGCTGAGCCATGCTTCCTCTGCGGCGCCCCTTTTCAGAGGCTACCGTGGGGACCAACCTTGGAGAGCGCAGCGGCGAGAAGCCAAGAGCCTGGGCCGCCGCTGTCGCTGCCACTGATGACGAGGACCACTGCGCCAGCCCAAGGCCGGCGGGTGCCTCGGTCAGCACCGGGCGTAGCGCTGGGTGCAGGTGCACACGGGCTTGGAGAGCCACGCGGGTAACAGCAGGCCTGGGGAGGCCTACCCCCACCCCAACGGAGCAGCGGCCAGTGAGGGCGCTGGCTTCCTGACAAGGCCTTGGTCCCTGCCACTCCCTGGCCACACAGCTCCGGCCAAGCCCTGTGCCCTGCACGCTGCTCCCAGGGCATCATGACTCTCGCTGAAGCACCTGCTCCTCCTCAAGGGGGCTGGC